CCCCCCCCCCCCCCAAATGACTGGAGCCCAGCAAGTTCCTGCCAGGCCTTGTAAGGTGTAGGGCTTCACCACCAGGGTTGTCTTGGACCTGGGACAATACAACAACCCTATCACAAATATAACAAACCTATGAGAGGCCCTAGCTTCCATGTGGGCCCTGGAAACCTTGTGGCAGCAATGTTCCCTACAGCTGAACACACCAAAAACTGGAGGTGTTCAGATCCAGATCTCCATCCGCTCTCAGCAGCATGGACCTGTCTCTAAGCTATGGAGATGGGAGAGGTCACTGGCCATTCTTGTTGGTGTCTCCCCTGGAGACTTAAATGGTGTTTGCTATCTGGGCCAACCCTGAGAACTGAGCTGGGGACCCTGGGAGCTGAAAACCTGATATATGGACTCTGAGGGCTGTAACAGACTCATGACCTTCATGGCTGGACTCCAAGGAAGATTCAGAAGACACGGGAGCAGTGAGTAACACTAACCCCCTTGCCTTGACCAAACCTGGGAGCTTTTCCATGCCAGAGCATGCACTTTCCTTGAGGAGCTGCTCACTTGCTGCATGTCCAAAACCTTAACACGCATGGATGGATGGCCTGATGAACAGCCCAGATCAATCTGGGCCTGGCCCTGTCTCTAGTTTTCATTTGGCAAACCTCAGCTCTCTTTGGTGGAGCTGGGAACAGGACTGAAGAGCCATGAGAAGGGCTGTTGTGATGATATGAGTTCTCTTGGGAACTGCTTTGACTGGGTTACTGTTTATAGATTCATAGATTGTAGAGTCGGAAGGGACCACAATGGATCATCGTGTCCGACCCCCTGGCAGGAAAGAGGACTGAGGTCAGATGCCCCCAGCCAGGTGCCTATCAAGCCTCTTCTTGAAGACCTCCAAGTTAGGTGATAGCACCACCTCTCTTGGAAGTCCATTCCAGATCCTGGCCACCCTTAGCGTGAAAAATGTCTTCCTAATGTCTAACCTAAATCTACTCTCCACTAGTTTGCACCCATTATTCCTAGTTGCATATCACCGTCAGAACACAGGCACCCTGTGATTGCTTAGAAGCCTGTGCACCGTGCACAGTGCCTGTGTCCTGAACCAGTGGCCCTCTGATGCTGCTGTCTTGATCCCTAATGCCTCTGTTTTTGTTAACAACAGGAATAAATATATAGTTGTTCTGGTGCTGAAGAAATCCTGTGACCTGAGTGTAAGCACCCAGCAGAATCACTGCCACACTTGGAACATCTACATGCCCTAATGTAAGTAGTGTCTTGCTGCAGCAGCTGGCCTGGGTGGAGCTTGGTATGTGGGTGTTGCTTGCAGAAAATGGCAGTTCTTGTCTGTTGCTGCAGGTCTGGGTTAGCAGTCCCTGAGAATGGATAGCAGTGGATAAGCTCTGTAGCTTTGCATGGAAAACAGTCTCTGCTGGGAGAACGCCGACAATGATGCTGGACCAAACCTTGGCTCTGAACTGCCTTAGTCTTTGAGGTTTGGATCTGCAGCCAGCTTTCAGCTTCCTGGCTTAGGGCTTCTCTCTAGCTGAAGAAAGCCCTTTCCATGACATTTCACCTTGAACTCTGAGCATTCAGATGGGATGGATACTTCAGATGCTGTTTGTAGTTAAGCTTTGGGGTTATTGGGAATTGATCCCCTGAGACTGTTGAGGTTTTCCCATAGCTTCTACGTTTTCATCTGGATAACCAGAATTATTTTTTTGCAATGTCAAGCTCATCACTATCGCATTTGAGCTGTTCACAAGTTACCAATCTCTCCATGATACCATGGTAAGAGAGTGCCTCCACATCTGCCCGTCTCCTCAGTTGGCTCAGACTCAGCAGCTCGCAGAGCGGTTTCTCAGGAATGCTTTCAATAAGGCAATAAGTAGCTATTGCAGAGGGCAGGCCTTTTCTCAGCAGTTCACTAATGAGTCAATTCCTCTGCCTCTCGTACCCTGTGAGTGACGCCCCTTGGCATGACTGGGCACAGCAAGTATGTATAATTCCAGTGGGCCTCCTGATGCCATGCTGAGGAACCAGCCCCGTAAGCAACCTGTGTAACTCATAAGACACTGTCTGGAGAGGAGCATTAGTGCCCTTCAGGGAATGTCTCAAAGACAAAGGTAGAAAGAAGAGGCCCAGTGGAGGAGGAATCCTTCAGGAATGCAGCACTAGTTCTGGTGCACGTTCAGTTTGGCTGCGAGTCAAGGCATTTGACAAGATTAATCAGCCTGCCTTCTATTTATAGAGCCTCTACAAACCAATGACCTCATTCATCAGCCTCAGAATGTCCCCTGTGAAGCTTGTCCGTGTCAGCCTCATCCTGGGGAGGGGGAAACTGAGGCATAGGATGGGCTATGATTTGCCCAGGACCACATGGAGAGTTGGGGACGGAGCTGAAATGGAACCCAGGTGTCCCCCCTGCTCTAACCCAAGGAAAACCACAAGATTTACCCTTGACCTCTAGGTTAAGAATTAAGGCTGTATGTGATACCTTGGTTTTGTCTTCACTGCTAGCAAACAACCAAAACATCTGTATTGTTTAACTGTAATAAATATCCTGAATGCACTCTGAGTCTGCCCAGGCCTGGAGTAGGAGCTGATTTAGGACTGGCCATAGTATGTCAGACCAGTAGTCCAAATCCTGCCTCTAACACTGACCAATCCCTGGTCAAAGAGCAAGAGCTGTTTCTTGTGGCTGCAGGCTTGGGGAAGCCTGTATCCTTCTCCTCTCCTTTCTCGTCTAAGCTGCTGCTGCCAGTTCTGGATTTCGTGCTGGGTGGCTTTTTTAGGATGCTGATTTCTGCCTCTTGATGATGGGATCTGAGACTTGTCAAACTCAATCCGTGCAGGTCTAGTTTCCTGCATTCCAAAACAGAGACTAAAGGGAGAGGTCCTGGTTATTAATGGGCAGGTTTCTTTAACTCCTTGGAGGCTGTGACCCCATATAAACAGTGACATTTCCCAGAGTATCGCTCTGGAAAGTGTCTGGAATCTGACAGAGGCACTGGGATTCTTTCCAGGCTATTTGTGCTGGGTGAGACTCTCTGTCTTTGTGTGTGACTCAGGACGGGGGATTAGCTCAGGGATGTGTCAGAGTGGTAATATAGTAACAGCATGCAAAGCCAAGCTGGCCATCTAAGGCTTTGTCCACTCTTCAGGCCCTGGGGGCTGGAGTGAAATCCTTGCTGCTTGCAGTGTCTTGCTGGTTTCCCAGAGACATACCAGCCAGCTTGCCTTTGTGCCATTGCCTCCTTTTACCAGCAGAGAGAGGAAACAAGAGCAAGATGGCAGGGAAAATTCATACTCAAGGCTTTGGCTGCCCCGTGTCCCTCTGGCCCATCACACACTTCTAGCAGGGTTAGGTGGAACGTGGTGGAGGTGTTTCCAGTGCTTCCCTAGCAAGCAAAGGCTTCTGGGAGTGTAGCTCATGCAGCTGGCATTAGCAACAGTGGGAGCAGAAATGTGACCTGTCTTTACAGCCCCTGACCCTTCCTGAGAAGGGGGGCAGCTGCTCACAAGGACACAGTGCCCTAACTCACAGCAAAGGCTCTTGCATGGCACATCAGGTAGAGGTGATGATTGAAACACGAGGTGGAGGGAAACTAGATCTGAGCAGAGCAGTGCAAAGGAAAAGGGGCCTGTGTGAGCACGTTCAAGTAGCTTTCCAAAGCTGTGTGATCTGTAGTGGTTTAGGAGCCTCCCTGCTCCCTCTGCTTTGGTGTTCAGCTCCTCTAAGCCCTGCCGTGGTGCGCCTCAGAAGCGCCTCCGCACTCCATCTTACATGGACTCTTCAGCATTACCAATAATCCTCTCTTCCCTGACCCTATCCCTCAGCCCGGCTGATGTCTTCCACCCTGGATGGTTCCGGTGAGTGATCCTACCAATCTCAACAGTGTGTTGTGGAGGGATGCCTTTGCATGGTGAGATGTTAAGCACTACCTTGAAAGGTAGTGTATGTGGTCAGGCCTGGATGTAGCCATCCTCTGGTGTTGCCATAACGTGTATTTGGATTAAATACCAGATGAAGAGACAGGAACTGGTAGATAGCTCCTGATGCAAAGAGGGTGTGAATTAGTAGAGGCATAGCAATTTGTGGGAATAGCATTGGAGGACCATCCAAATACCAATCCAGGTACATGTGTTTGGTCCTCTATGCTGTGAAGAGGTTGGGTCATACCTTAACCCCCTGCTCTGCCCTGTATCCCAGCCAGCCCCTGGCCTGGTCTCAGTCAGCCCATAGGCACACATATAATAGGCCTTGTACATGGATAACAGGGAGACTAAGGCAACAGTACATAGCACAATGTGTCTGCGTTGCTGGCTGGCCACACTCACTGTTCCCTTTCTCATATCTTGTCTGTTTAGAGCAGGGGTTGGCAACCCCTGGCTCACACGCCAGACCGTGGCACGCAAAAGTATTTGTTTGGCACTCATGCCTTGGAGTGGATAGAAGGAGAGGGGCCGGGGCTGCACTGCCACAAAAAGGATCAGGCCCCTTGCTGCCCCCCGGCCCTCCACCTGGAGCCACTGGCAACAAGCTGGGCTGGGGCTCCGCGCACACTCGTGCAACTGTTTGCAGCCTCCCCACTGCCTGCTGTGAGCAGCCTAGGCTCCATGATGGGTGGCAAGGGCCTGCTGAGAGCCTGGGCCAACTGTGGCAGGCAGCTGGGAAGCTGCAAGCAGCTGCATTGTAGTCCGCAGAGCCATAGCCCAGGTTATTGCTTGTGGCGGGTACACACATGTGGAGTGGATGGCAGGGGAGCTGTGAGGGGCCCAATCCTTGTTGTGGCAGCACAGCCTTGGCCCCTTCTCCCCACATCTGCCTTGAGGTGCACATGCACTGCAACCAGCAATGAGCCGAGCTGGGGCTCCGCAGACCTTGGTGCAGAACTTGCAGCCTCCCAGCTGCCTGCCACAGCCAGCCTGGGCTCTGAGAAGGGCCCTGCTGCCTGCCATGGACCCTGGGCTGCTTGCAGCAGGCAGCAGGGAAGCTGCAGGCGACTTCACTGAGGTCTGCAAAGCTCCAGTCTGGGTCATTGCTGGTGGCAAGTGCGAATGTGCCTTGGGAGGACAGTGGGGAAGGGACCCAGGCTGTGCTCCCATAATAAGGATCGGGCCCCTCACAGCTCCCCTGCCATCTGCCCCTAGTGTGCCAATGTCTTTCAAGTAGAGGTTGTGTGTTTTTGGCACTGCCCAAAAATGTTGAGAACCCTTGGTTGAGAGGGTAAGCTCTAGGGGAATGTATGTGTTTTCTGTATGTCCTAGTGCAATGGCCCTGCTGGCTGTTGCCACCTTGAGGTCTTCTGTAATACACGTAGATATTAGCAGGCATTGTCATCAGGGTGAACTGTGCTGCTGACGAATTGTGGACTAGAGTTCCCTAGTTGAGATTAAATCCTATTGGGTGAGCACTGAAGAGGCTGGAAGATCAGTGGAGCATCCAAAGGTGCCTGGAGGTAGGGTTTCAGAAAAGTGCGACATTTGCCAGGAACATTTCTTTTGTGTCTAAGTGACTTGTCTAAGGTGCCAAGGAGGTGAGAACCCAGCAGCATCCCCGGGGGTGTAATTTAGGAATGAGCAAGCTTCAGAGGAAATAACATCTGGTTCAGGACTCCAGCAGAGCAGAACTTCCAGCTTTTGTGGTTCTAAAACAAGGGTCCTCACAAAAAACGCAAGCAGCTGCCAAGTCCTTTAACTCCATTGACTTGAACAGAACTCAGCACCTCTCAGGATTCTGACGTTTGATTCTAAATGACATCAGGAGAGAGAGAAAAATGTAGAGGGCTTTGCAGATGTGAAGGGCCTGAGAGTGTCTTAAATGTTAACCCAGGATAATCAAGGCCTGGAGAGCAAGCCACACACAGGAACTCGTTATTTACAGTGTATGGATTTCAATGGAAGACGAGAAATTGGATTTTTCAGAACAAGAAAACTTGCCTGCAGCCACAAAACAAAGGCCAACATTACTGTAACAACAAAGAATCATAGAATCATAGAAAATTAGGGTTGGAAGGGACCTCAGGAGGTTCCAGCCCCCTACTCAAAGGAGGACCATCTCCAGCTAGATCATCCTAATCAAGGCTTTGTCTAGCCGGGTCTTAAAAGCCTTCAAGGATGGAGATTCCTTCACTTCTCTGGGTAACCTGTTTCAGTGCTTTACTACCCTCCTAGTGAGAAAGTTTTTCCTAATATCTAACTTAAACTTCCCTTGCTGCTATGGGTGATTGGTACCTCCTGGGTCGGGGGGGCACTTGCCCCCCCAGTGGCCAGTCAGTGACTGGAGGGGACAGGGGTCTCCCGTCAGGCAATCATGACAATGGGAGGGGGGGAGTCCCCCTTAAGTCAATTGCGCTGACTGGGGAGGGGTCCAGTCTGCCCCACCGTGCGCAGATCTGGGGGCACGTGCCCCCCTGTGCCCCCCTCAGATGAGCGGTGGAAGCTGCCAGATGAGCACTGGATGAACAGCACACAGTGGTGGGAGCCACCTCACTCCCTTCCTGTGGCCACCCCCCCACCCCCTAATGAGCTGCACCTCCCATCCTGCAATTGCCCTGACCCTGGCTGGGCAGCTTCTGCCCCAGCCCCAACCCCAACACCACACCCTCCCTCACCATGGGGGCCTTGATCTGCCCCCCACGCCCCTCCCCTCTCCTCTTCCCTTTCCACCACACCAGACTTACCAGTTACACACAGCTCTCCATGCTGCAGGCTCTGCTCCTCATTGCCTACATGCTGCACTGCAGCTACATGCATGCACGGGCATTTATTAGACAAATTATCAGCTGCACTGGGCCGATTTCCAATACAGAAAATTTTCTTTGTATCAGTGCTGATCCGATATTGGACCGATGTATTGGTGCACCTCTAGACTTAACTGATTTGGCTCAAACTGGTTTATGCAATGTCTGTTCCAGCCCCCTTGCTGGTTTAAGATAAACCAGACTCCCCAAGGATCCCGACATGTTGTCTGGGCTGGGCAAGGCTCTCTGCTCCGCAGCAGAGCTGGCCCCTCCTCTTTGCTCCCTGGCTGCAGCTCCGGCAGAGACTGCAGGTACAGCAGGGTCTGCCTGGCTTCCCCCTGCTCTAAGTCCCCCTTCTTTACTCGCTGCTCAAGCAGGAATCCCCTGCTCCCTCCCTCCCTCCCATCTCCCACAGCACAGATCCCAGCCCCATGGGCCCTAGGCATGTAGTGTGCTAGCTAATGCAGAGAGGTGTGTGTGTGTGTGTGTGTGTGTGTGTGTTTCCAATTTTACTGGAATAGGCAGACAGAACAGTGACCACTTAGGGCTTTCTGGAGCTAATTAAGAGGTCAGTTGGCAAGTTGTGTAAGAAGAGTTTGAACTAATGAAGATAAGCTATTGTTTTGCTTATGGGGTGATAAACACTTTTATCAGCTTCCTGCTGGCTGGCTTGCTTGCCTGTCAGTTTGCTGCAGACTATAAAGAATCAGGGAGGGAGGTTGAAAAGCTCTGTATCATCAACAGATGCATGCACTGCACTACACCCCCTTGCCTCAGAGTGCTAGCAGAGTTCTGGGGGCTGGCACCACTCCTCCCCCTTGAGCAGCCAGTGGGGAAAAGCCTGGGACTGTGCAGGCAGACCTCCCTAATCAAAGGTCCTGCCAAGGCCTGGCCATACCCCACAACTCAGCTCAGCACTCTAGAAGGGAAGAGAGGGCTGCTGTAGCGTCCTCTGGCTTCTAGCCTGAGCCACTGCCTGAATTTTCTCAGTCCAGAGAGAATATCTGTACAGTTACAAACTGGTTCAGCCTAGCCAGGTTAGACTAACCTGCAAAGATTGACTCAATTCAGGCTCAGGCTGTTTGAATGTCTGTCCCTAGCCCCTATGTATGACTGAAAGGGGCCTTCTGGGCCATCAAGTCTAGTCCCAATGTGGAATGGAATAATGTTATACCCTAGCCTGCCCAGCCAGCTCCTCCTCTTGCAATGTAGAACACAGGGCAGAGTCAGCTTGGTGCTTGGCTTATTTTATTTTTTTCAATTTATTTGAGAAACTCAGTGCACGTGCTGGTATAAAATAAAAAAGGAAAGAAAAGAAGTTGTTTTGGAGCGTGTTGTAACAGCTGGGCAGTAGTTTTACTTCAGGCCAAGATGCTGGTTATTTCTTGGCTGCCTCCTCTGACTTCTTGGCCTCAGATGGAGCTATCTGGGCATGGCTTTCAAAGGTGACTGGAATTGTGATCTCAGCAGACTGGATGGCTGGCTTGGGCAGAGGAGCTTCCACTGTCAGCATGCCGTCTGGGGACAGTGAGGAGCGGACTGATGTGGCATCAATGCCAGGGGGCAAGCTGCAGGAGGGAGAGGAGAGTGAGCAAGGGATGTAAGACCCTCATCCATCTTGTTCACATGTTTGTAGAGCTTGTCAATTATCCTGCTTTGGAGCTCCCTAGAACCATGTACAGACCAGCAGCAAAGGTCCAGTTGAGCCACCTCATCCTCCAGTGGCACGTACTGACTTCAGGAGAGGGTGGGCACTGGGCCAGAGAGGCCTAGACATAGGTCCTTTGTGGACTGCTATAGGTCAAGCAGAAAGGGGCACCCCTTGGGGCACAGTAAGATCCCCCTGCCAGGTGAGGCAGGAAAGGGATCAGCAGCCCAGTGCTGAGCCCTCCCTTCCTGTGGCCCCACATGTATCTGTCCTGTGTGTGAGCTGTGAGCTTGCCATGGCAGCTCAGGGGAGTTTCCACCAGGCTCCTTCTTCTCAAGGGGGTGACATGGAGCTCAGTGTCACAGAACCTTTCTATCCAGGGCATCTGTATAATGCTGAGCCTTGGGAAGCGAATTTCCACAGTGATCATGTTCAGGACAGTCCCTCCCCAAACCAGAGATTAGTGCTTGGCACTGTCTCATCTGGCCCTAAGTACCCTGAAATCCCTCATGAGGCAGGTGCTGCAGATGTGCCAGGAGTTCTAGGTTCACATCCTCCCCAAAGGGTTGACCTACAAATCACTATGCCCTGCAGGCCGCTTGGCACAACACATATGTGGGTCTCCCCGCCCACCCCGATCCTCCCAGGCTGGCGGGTGGTGATGGTCAGCTGTCTCCCAAGAAACAGCCAGGTACTTACGTGTATTTCCTGGTGAAGCACCTGGAGATGAACCCATGCTCATCCTGCTTCTCTTCATGCTTGCCTGGAAGAGGAGGAGACAGCAACTGTTTCAGTGGGGTGATCTATGCATGTGCTGAGTGCCCTGGGGCTCTGTGCCATGCCATGCCATGCCCCTGGCCAGGCTCACTCACCAGGGCTCCCTGGGTTTTCAAGACATACAGTTATACAAGAGAAGGAATAAATCCACCCAGTCTCCTGGGATTTTGGCTTTCCCAGTTGATCTCAAGTCCGTTCTTTGATGCGGGTTCTGCTGTACCTGGTCCTGTGAGAGCAGCTACTCTCATGAGATTTCTACCACAGAGCCAGGGAACCATTTCCAGGTGAGCGTGGGGCAGAGGACCCCTATGCTCTTCTCTCTCCCGAGTCCCCTGTCCTGCCCTCTAGTCTTGAAGTTCCTCCGGGCTACAGATGCCATTGTGTTAGGGACAAATGGGGCAGGACAAATGATCCATTGCAACAGCCAGGAGAACTGAACCTTGCTCTGCAGAGGTGAAAGGATCCCCATCTCCTACTGCAGGAAGGGACGAGCCACTTCCACTGCTGATGGTGGGATCTCTCTTATAATGAGTAGGTTGGGAACTGGGCCCCAGTGCTGAGTCATAAGAAATGTCAGATGGCCCCAAAGTCCCCGCTCACTGCAGAACCTCCCCTCGCTTTAGACCTCTCTAATTCTCTGCTTCACAGTTACCGTGGTTACCTTGCACACGTGTGTGGGGGGGGATGTCTTTTACAATCATTAGGATTTCACATGGAAGCAGAACGCTGCACAACTTGCGAAGGCGCCTTTGTTAAAAATAGGGAGGTGTCAAAGAGGGAGGCAGTGATAGCCTTACTCTGCCCAGGACAAGGGAGGAAGTGGGATCTGATTTTAAAGTCATAAGCCAAGCAGGGCTGAGCAGATGGGGAAGGGCAAGGAGACACTGCAGGTCTTAAGGGGGAGGATTGAACTCTGCTCAGAGCCAAGCTGGGGGCAGGGCTGATGCTTAGAGTGATGCTGTTATCCCATGATGATACCCTGGTTGGGTGCCAGGCAATGGGAAGCTGGAGGAGATCTTCCCCTCCTGTCTAGCTCCAAAGCCAGGCTCCCTTTGCCACTTGCAAAGCCGGATCAAATAGATCTCCCTGCCTGGAATTAGCAGAGTCATGGTAGCTGCTTACTGCTTTTGAAGGTAGTCTCACCAGCTCCCTCAGAGATCTAGGGATTAGGCCAGCTGCCAGGGATGTTTGCTTTGTTATCACTGACCTACACATTGGTGCTGGGGCCTTGACACCCCTCCATTGTCTTTCTAAGGTCTTGACCTGGCCTCTATCAACACAGCACCTGAGCACCCCATTTCAGCACCTTACCCTACCCTCACAGTCTCCCTGCACATTAGTCCTGTGTGAAGCAGCAAGTATTTTATCTGATTCAGAGGACAGTGATTTGGTTCGGAGATTCAAAGCACTGTCCCGATTTGATTCGGCTGAATCAGAACCAAAAGATTTCGCGCCGCTTCAGAGATGCGGCTGTAGACTAAACAGCTAGGTGACGCAGCTGCCTCCAGCTGGTAAGTCTGTTGGGGTTGGAGGATGGGGGAGGGAAGGGGCATGGGGGAGGGAGGGATTGGGGCTGGGACTGGGGCTGGGACAGGCTGCCCAGCCGGTGGGGGGAGGGAGAGA